TAATTATTCAATGCTAAGAGAAAGGATTATAAATTACCTTCCAATTTTAGAAAATTGCGAGACCAGCCAATTCCTCTTTCCGAAGGCACAATTCTCACTAGGCACTCAAGAACACGTTCACGAACTTGGGCAGTCAATCGATAACTGTTTGTGATCTTAAAAAGTTGCTCAAGAATCGTCTCCACTGGGAGCTTGATTTGAGGGTCTAAATGTAAAATAAGCAAAATAATTTACCCAGTTTGTATTCAGGAAATTTTTGCTGGCCGACAATTTGAGCTTTGTTGGCCTGAATCTTCAAAAGAGCATCCCTTTCTTTATGATAGGACTTAACTTGAGTTAAGCTTTCTAAGACATGCTCCAAAAATCGGCAGGTATCAAGAGCCTCTTCATTATGGGATGAGAATATGCGATTGTAGAAATAATTTGGAGTCAATTTTTGGATAACCTCGAAAGCCTGTCATACAAATACTGTGTCAATGTATGTGAGAGTCATAAAAGTTAGCAAAAAAAGGCGTTAAACGCATACTTTATCTGAGTAATGCTCTATTATGGATGAAATAAGGAGTTGTGAAGAGGAGGATATCGAGAGCTCGCGTGATTCACACAAATCATATATTATAAAAAATTTAGGATGCTTCCAGATGGCCTCAATTGCAGAACTTTTGTCTTCATTTAAAAGTGCAATCAAATTTTGTATGGCCTTAAAATAATTAGAAAAGCTTGAGACTAACCACAACAATGTTTTCAGATGAAGATTTTTTAGCCAGTAACTCAAACATGCTTTCAATTTTCCCATGAAGGCTGCTAGCCTTACCTATCCTGGCTGATGCCTCAGCCTCGATATTTCTTAATAAGGATTGTGCAGCCTTATTTTTGGGCTCGAGGCCGATCAGTTTTCGGGCATCTTCAAGGGCGCCCTTAAAATTACCTAGCATATAGTGTGCATAGGCTCGACGATACAAGGCCTTTAGGTCACCGGGGTGTATATTAAGGGCTGAATGGTTGATAAAAATAAATAATCGAAAGCACCGTCGGTAGCCAAGTCGGAAGCCTTCTTGTAGCATTTCAAGACGATATAACACTGGGCCTTATTATTATATATAGTGCCTTTGACATTTTCATCCACCTCTGAATGTGTGAGGCATTGATCATATAATTTTAGTGCCTCCTTGATCTCGCCTTTCTTATAGAATTCATTGGCGGACGACTTTATGAGGAGCAGCGAGGTCATGACTAGCGGATTACCCTCGTTGTTAGTTAACAAAAATATTAACGCAACGTATTTGAAATATTAGTATAACCATTTATACCCCCAAAAACATTTTAGTTAATTTCTAAAACAGAAAGTGTAGTTTGCTGTCCATTTAATATTTTTAATTAAAATTTGGGTTATAATTGACGGTTTTTAACAAGACAAATTTTGTAACTGTCTTCACTGTCTATAGCGGCCTCTTTGCCTTTCCTCGCTTCT